ATCCCCGCCGACCCACAACCATTCTTCTTGGAACCCGTGCAGCGAATCCGGGATTTCTGTGATCAAATCACCAATCTTAAAACCACTTTGGGGCCTTCCTGCGCAAGCATAGCAAATCAGAGGATCTGCTACTTGCCTGTCAGTACATCTCCGGAACGAGAAAAGGCTCCTTAACTCCTCAACAGTTGGCATATCCCAACCCTTTTCCTTTAACAGAACCAGAAGACCAATGATTCTCTTCCATGAATTGGGAGCTACTTGACACAAACTGATCCCCCAATTCCTTAGATAATCCGTGATTAGAGCGGGAAGCGGAAATCTCAAGCCGGACCTCAATGAGTCGGCAAAAACACCAACACAACCCGGTGGAGGACATGTAATTCTTTCACCCGGGTATGGCGCGAACAGCTTTACCGACGAAGGGATATACACTTCTCCTCGAAGCATAACAATATCGGCATCGGTAAGAATACTCGGTTCGCCCCTATACTCGTCAATCGGCTCTGGCCATCGACGAGCAGGACGCCTCCAATAATCCGGAAGTGACATAGCGTCCTCTTCGACTCGCTTGTCCTCATCGATAATATCCCTATTAAGATTAAGACTCTTTACCAAAAGGGGATCCCACCGATAATACTCCAGAGGCAATTCCAAATCCTCATCGGTAAGGATCGGAATATCCGAAATCGTTCGGCTACTGCTATCCTCAGTTTGTGCAGACATCACTCTTCGAAATCGACGAAAAATACAGGAATAATTCGAAACAGAACAAGAAAACAAGAAAGATTAGGGCAAACTCTTACCGAAACTTTCGAAGAACTCTGAACTGACGAAAAGATCACAGGGAAAAAGCGAGTGCGCAAGAAAAGTACGTAAAGAAAAGGTTGCTGAAAGAACGCAAGAAAAATCGAAGAAGCTAAAGGTACAGAAATTTTTTGCGCCCCAAAACCGACTTCAATTTATAGGTTTTGATTTATGACCGTTAGAAGCATCCGGAAACGGCGCGTGTAACGGACGCATCTTCAAGGGACATAACGTTACAGTAATTATTATTCTACGTGGCCATACCCTGAAACGCCATGTCGTTACAAAATTGTATCCGTTGGGCCCATTTAATGCGGACACGTCTTTTAAGAGCCGCCATGTCAGATCAAAAATCGTGAAGTGTCAAGCGAAGCAAAGTGTTCTCATGTCGGTAAATAACGCAAAACAAGTCGGAATAAGGTGAAACAACAAACGACATCAGCAATCATTTAAAAAGCTTCAAATACTTACTGATGTCGGGGGCCTCACTGTTGATATCAAATCCAGTAATCAGAATTAAAGTACCACAAGTCGGAATATATTAGAGCAAATTACCGACTTCCTAAGAATTGCCGATTTCCGAAAGATCCAATTTCCGACAAAACCTTCAAAAGGATCAAAACCGACATCTGAAATCAACGTAAGTAAACCGACTTCAAGTCAACCGACTACCATAAAGTTGGAGCATTCCAAACAAAAAGTAATCATTAGAAGCATCTAATTGGACCAACGAAACAAAAAGGCAATCATTGATGTTTCCCGCCGCCTCAAAACAAAGCAGCTCAATATTAAATGCATCTCTATCCATTTCGAGGAAGAAGACAAAAGCCACCGTACTATAAATAGCAGAATTTATGATAGTACGAGGATCGGATCTTTTGTTTGAACACATTGTACACGAACTTAAGACAATCTCGGTTTTCAGCTAAACCGACTTCTGTACTCTTGTGGACACAATCAATAAAATCTAATTAAACAGTTATCCTTATTTTTCGAACATCAACTGTGTTTAATTTTAAGTTGCTAATTCAAGACAGCAACATATCCTACTGCTCAACTTGTGGTCAGTCAATGTATAGCTATAATGTGGGGTTTTAAAGATATTTATGACTTAGATCCTTTTAAATATTCTGGTCTAGTAGAAAATATGTTAGAAAAATGGCTAAAATATTATTACTATATTCCCGATACATTTTTAATTGCATGTCTGTTAGATCCTACAGTTCGTGAGCAAGGTTTGTTAAATCAACTTAATATGTACTATGATTATATGTATCAATTGCCACTGCCGAGTGGGGTCCCGACTTACAGGGACAAACCTAACATACCGCAGCTCGTCGAGCAAGCAAAAAATTCTTTGTATGACATGTTCAAGGAAACATCGATCGCACATGGAGAGTCTCCCAGCACATTTGTTCGTAGCAGCGGCGCAAGCGGCAGCGGGTCTTCATCTTCGTACGGAGGGCAAAGCGGCAATACAAACTTCGGAAACTTCAAAGTGTTTTGGGATTCATTAAATCCCTACAAAAACTCGGGCGGTCAAAGGGTGCAGGGGACTGGATACTATGAGCTGGATCACTACCTTACGTCGAATTTAGCCATTACGATTGCACGTCCACCTCAACCGCCACTCAATTTCGATGTGTTAGATTGGTGGTCAAGAATGGGAGGAATTTTTCCTATTCCATGCATTATGGCCAAGGAGATCTTTGCTGTCCCAGCATCTACAGTCGCGGTTGAGCAAGCATTCAGTGAGGGCGGCTACATGCTAGATCCACGACGGTCGAGGATGACGCCTGATAATCTTCAAGCACAAATGTTACTGAGTGATTGGAAGAAGGCCGAACGAAGGATGCAAACTGCTATGCTCACTTCGAATGAGGAGGAGGACGACAACGACGATGCATCCGATTTTACGTCGTCGACAAGTGGAACCGGGGGGGACGTCGAAGACGAATACGAATATTAAAGGTATGCAGCCAAGGTATGTGATTTAGAAGAACTACGTGGACTTTGATTCCCAAATAAAGGGATACGTAGGCACCTTATTTAACATTATTAAGTTTGAGTATAATTTTTTGGCAACAAAATTTTTCATCGTACACGATATTCGAACTTAATAACTGTTAACTAAGCTCAAGTCCATTACATTAATAATTTTTTTCTTTACACTTATAATTGTTTCATTTTGAAATGATATAGACAAACAGACTCAAAAACTTATATTTTCGAAGTATATACAAACTATTTATTCAAACAAACATTAATATACATTAAAATAACAAAAAAAGTAAAAAAAAAAATTAATAAACCCGCAAACCCGCCGGGCCCGACCCGGAACCGACTCGACCCGCCGGGTTTGCGACCCGGCGGTTAAGGGCCGGTTCAGTGAACCGGCCCTTAGTTACAAGCGGGCCGGGCCCGGTTCACTACACGGTGAACCGCCGACCCGGCGGGCCGGGCCGGGTTTCGACCCGGCCCGGCAAATGGACACGTCTAGCTCAGAGAGACTTGCCTAGATAGAGACGTGGTAAATCAAAAAATATGAAGTGGTTGACTCTGTTTTCTAACAAGGACTCTCTTGGTCATCAAGACAATTGTCTTATAAGGTTACCAGGTTCTTCTTCATTGATATATCGCATTCTATGCCTTAAGTTACTCTATTGTGTAAGTGTCATTGTCTTAGTCTACACTATGGAGGAATATTTCAAAGCACTATGTCTACTAAGCCGCCAGTACATCCGATGATATTTACTAACAATGTTCAAAGCCACAAGCTACATTTTATGATGCAATAGTCTTGAGAGGATTGAGCGCAAGGTCTGCATACATGAATACATTTGATTTTCACTCATGTGGGGGAATGTTGGAGAAATCAGTTATAAAACTTGGGTTTGAATCAATTTTGACTGAACTTTTTATGACTATATATATAATTCGGGCTGAATTAAATTATGTAGAAATATTCTACGTTCTGATTAGATACTTGGTATATTTATTTTCTCAAAACTGATTTTTGGTGAGTGAGAAATATAAATGATTAAAGTTAGCCATAAATGAGCACGCAATAAGATGGTTGTGGGATTTGAAGGTTCAAAAGTTCTTTCCACGTTGGACACTTTAATGAGATTAACTTTCTTTGCTATAATAAAGAGGTCATAACAACAACAAAGTTATGGACCAAGCGTTGGTATTGGCTTCGACCACATTTGTGTACGCGCGTGCCCGCTCACCGGCCGGCTCGGGCACGGGCCTGGGCCTAGACTTGGGACTTAGGACATGGGCTTTGGTACTTGGATTATGGGCTAGACATGGGCGGCTTTGGTCGGTCTTGGGATTGGTGCTGGGCTTGAGCCTTGGACGCAGCTTCTATAGTCATTTTACTGCACATTTATTTGCAATTGTAAAGCCCAAGATAAAATTCAAACCGAGATGGGTTTAGACTCGGGTCATGACCCAACCATTGTGAGACCTTCAAGTTACATTGAACCTGGACGTATGACTTTTCACCTGTCCATCTGACCGTTTCAGTAGTTATCAGGTGGAATAAAGGTGGGTTAACATCTGAAAAACTGTCAAGTTACAACAATCATAAGTGGGTTGTTACGAGCTGAAGAGTCATCTCCTACCCAGCTAGAAGTCCTATAAATAGGACAATGTAGAAGCTGCAGAAGACATGAGGCATACAACTGCATATCATACTGAAAGACTCACGCATCATATACATTGCTCAAATTCTCGACTTTGTTCGTGTTCATCGGAGCTCTGAAGTCTGGTGTGCTACAACTTCCGAGTCAATAGCCGCTATATATTTGGGGACAACGCGCACACCCGTTAGCACTATACGGGGCGTAATTGTCTTGTGGAATGAGTTTACTCGACTCGGCTTTAATCTTTCCGTTCCTAAGTTGTAATTTATTTTTTGTTTTTAGTTCATATTGAACGAACTGAACATTTCAGTTCATAGGTTTTCGTCTAATCGACACTCAAATTATAACAAAGATGACATGCCGCGATAACTTGATGAATGGAATACAAGATGTGATAAACAAATCCCAAGTACTCTCTGTTTTGCCGGATTCATTAATTTGATAAATATAACCTGGGCATAGGCCCGGCCTACACAGCCAATCTCTAGTTCAAATCCAATAATCAGAACAAAGCACCAATTTTATTCAAGGCAACGATTTTTGTTTTCAAGAAACTGAACTTTTTCTATGATTTTCGAGGAAATCAATGAACTTTTCAATGTATCCATCATGCAATTCGGTATCCCCAATTATTACCGCCATCTCTTTAGCGCTCTTCCTGAACTTCTTTCCCTCATCTTCGACCATCACCAGCTTCACCGTGTCAGCCACCGAGTAGCGTGTGTACGACCCGTCCTCCTCGTTCCTCGGAATCTCCAAACCCAGTTGCCTCTGCTCAACAATTCTCGAATTCAGACCTTGGTCAACCAAAAATGGCAGCGTGATCAGCGGGTGTCCGAACAATAACCCCTCCAGAATAGAGCTCCAGCCGCAGTGAGTCAAGAACCCGCCCACCGAGTCATGACCCAGTATCCTCAGCTGTGGCACCCAACTCCGCCACACAATCCCCCGGCCCTTCACCCTCTCCTCGAACCCATCCGGAAGCTCAACCGGGTCAGAACCCGTTGACCCGGACGGCTTCCTCAAAACCCAGAAGAAAGGGACCCCGGACAACTCGAGCCCGTGAGCCAAATCACTGAGTTGTTCCCGACTCGGATTCACCTCGCTCCCCAGCGCCACATAGACCACCGAACCTTTGTTCTGACCGTCCAGCCAGCTCTTGATCGGAACCCATGTTTCATCATCATTGTCTTCGTTGTTTTCCTTCTGAGATTTGTCGTGTTGTGGAAGTTTAGGCGGCATTAAGCCGAGGGGAAAAACCGGCCTTTGGTGAAGCTCCTCAAGTAGAGGCAACCAATCGGGTTCGAATTCATAGCAGTGCCTCAAAACAACAGCTTCCGACCCGACAATTGCTTTACCCGTCCGGAAAAAATCCGAATACCCGGAGTTGCTGGTGAGGGCCGCCCCGACAATCCAGTTCGCTTCGAACCTGCGGTACGCGACTCTGGTTTCAAACTTGACCCATTTCGGAGGAACCATAAAATCCTCGAGCCTAACCCTGTAATCCGACCCGCTAATCAAAGACTCGGACGACCCGGCAAAGGCGAGAAACCAGGCGTTGATGATGAAGAAGAAGGCCCGAGAGATCCCAAGGCGGGCTGCGATGGGCGGCAGCCAGTGGGGGCAGAAGTCGTAGATGACCCAATCCGGGTCGGATTCTTCGAGAAAGCGGGTCAGACCCGGCTGGAGGCTGTCGAAGGCCTTCTTGAGATAGTCCATCTGGTCGGCGTTGATGTCGGCGGTGGCCTCGGCGTTTTCCGGCAGGCCGGGTGTTGTGGGGAGGGGGATTTTGACGAGGTTGATGGAGGAGATGAGGTGCGGGGGCAGTTTGGGTAGGCGATCGATGTTTCTCGGGGTGGAGACGAAGGAGATTTTGTGGCCTCTTTGAGCGATGAGTTTGGAGAGTTGGAGGTAGGGGATGATGTGGCCGAAGGCAAGCCACGGGAACATGACAATGTGGAGGCGCCTAGTAGTAGTAGCCATGGATGAGTGGAAGGAAGCTCTTGATCTGAGTGTTTAGACTGAGTTTGTTTAGACGAAGCTAATTATTGGTGTGGGGGTAAAGAACAATATTGATGATGGGAAATGCATTTGTCGTTTTCATACATGTTATTTTAATGTCCGTTACATGTTACTAGCAGCATCACTGTTCTCTCATACTCGGACAGCTGAGTGAAATTAATTCTGTCACAATACTAATGAAATTATTGGGGACTACAGTGCTTTGGGATGGTGCCTTCTGTTATAAAATATTTATTTTTCTATTATAAAATATTTATTTATTAGGATTAATTATGATCTATTGATAGTAGTTAGGAATTATTGATAGAAAATAATAAAATAATATATGTGGATGATTATTTTGTCCTTGATGTAATTGTAGTGCCATAAGAAGTTTTTCTATAAATAGAAGTTTCATTTATAATGAAAACTAGTACAACACCCGTGTAATACACGGGTGATTAAAATAAATTATATTTCACAAAAAGTAGAACTACAATAATTTACATAAAAATATAAAAAAAATAAAGATAAAAAATAAATAATAAAATAAAAACAGAAATTGTAATATTATTTCAAAATTTGAAAAACTTCTCGGTATACAACGTTATTAGTTCGATTTACAATATTCTCATTATGGTCGCAACAAAGAATTTTGAAACCTCTTTTGCTCTTAACTCTAGATATTGCAACATAAAGCTGACCATGACTAAATACGGATTTAGGTAGGTACAACCCAACATTAGACAATGTTTGTCTCTAACTCTTGTTAATGGTCATCGCAAAGCACACCAAGAGGTTGATAATAATTGATAAATTAAGGAATAAAAATAGATTGTCTCATTTACATATAGGAGTCAATTTGATAAATTAAATAAGAAATGTAAATAGAAATGGTTCCAATTGAAATGAAATAGTTACAGATAATTTTGTTTCGACAAGTAACATTGGAAAGCAAAAATAAAATAAATTTGAGGAGAAAATTTAAAAATAAAATAAAAAGTTAAATACTTTTTTAGATTGTAAGTTGATATATGATAAAGTAAAACAAAATTCCTCGTGTATATTTATTTACAAAATATTTTAAATATATTATCTTTGATGAATTTTTAAATATACAAAAATACTTATTTCCATAATATTTAAAATACATGAGTGGTTTAGTGTTTAATGTATTGGATGCACTTATGCAAGAGTACATGTCTAATACCTTTGTTATTTGTTTCAGTTGGATTAAATATTAGAGTAAGATTGATTTGTTTGTTAAGGACGATAAGGAAAATTGTGAGAGGAATGATTTTGTCGAAAATTTTTTGAATACATTAGGGAGGGTCGAGATATTAAGTTTGTAATGAAATCTTGATATATATTAATCCAACCTATTTTATTGTGAGCCCACAACATATCGTTACAATCAACACTTTGTTTTCTGGAAATGTGCTGTAGACTTTGGATGCAGTTGATGGAAAACAAGCTAGAAGAATTAATCACCCTGATGGTTTGGGCTAAGCAAACACAATAAACACAACTTCTTGCTTGAATTATTGAAGTTTAATAACATGTTAGTAAAATAAATATAATAAACTTTTTATCCACATATAGCAAGCCTGCAATTGAACCACCTCATATGTTGATAGAACACAATTGTATAATCTGTATATCTAATAACCCTCATGCAATTGACAAAGTATTTTCGATGGCGGGTAATGGCAACACAACCCAAGATAATCAACTGTAAGGGTTTAAACCACAAACAACGTTACGAAACCAAAAGAAAGATCAATCAGAAATAAGCACTTAAGATGTAAATCACATCATTGACCAATAACACCATTTAGAACTCAAGATAATATAATCCATAAAGTATTTCAATAGCATAGGAAACAAACTAAATATGCAGTACTGTAGAAAAAAAACTAAATATGCAGATAACAATAGCAAATAATTAATGTATATACGGCATTTATATATTAGTCATTTACATATAGGAGTCAATTTAGTAAATTGAAGCTGATAGAAGGAAGCAAATTAAGAGTCAGGGATATATTAGTCACTTAGTATCACGCTATGTAAGATTATAAAGAATTAAAGGGTTAGTATAAGTGCTATGAAATTACCTAAGTTAGGTTAATAATATTTATGGAATGTCCGAACCTAAAATTATTAATTTATAATATCAATATTATTTGTCCAAACCAATTACGAAGCACGATTCTTCGCCAAGTAGGATTCCGAAGCACCAGAAGCAGCCACGTAGGTTCAACGCATTCGGGAATTATATATAGGAGGGATATACCAAGATAATATTTGTTCTCTCTAGTTTTATAACACGTTATCAGCATAAGCATCTGCCTTCTAGAGCTTTATTTGTGATACGAAGAGAGTACGTTCTACAGTTGTGTCTTATAGACGATCTTCTGTGTCAGAAATCCTAATATTACAAATCGTTATTTTATTGGAAATATCTTTCAAGGTTTTTTTTTCTCTCTCAATTATAAACAATAAATCTATAATCTCCTAAAATTCTAGAATTTCACAATGTATCACCAAAAGATAATTTGTTAAACTCGCTCTTGATGGGAGCAATTATTTAACTTGGGCCCTTGATGTTTAGATTCATTTGTCCTCGTTTTGATTGGGAAATTTTCACGTATCTTACATGAAACTAAAAAATTTGCAAATCTACCATATATAAACAAGTAATTATGTCTCTATCTAATTGTCAAGATTTAATTACATGTATGCCGAAAATTCAATTACCTAAAAAAAGTGACTTTCCGCTC